CCCCGTGCCGCGTGCTTTATGTAAACGAACCAAAACGCCTCCGAAACTCACAGTCCCACCGAAGATATTTTTCTCGTTCCCATAACAGCGATACTCAAATCTTCCTCTGACAAATATTCGCATGCAAATGTTTGGAAACTTTTGAAGNGCAACGCCTGTGGCGTGTTGCTCGTGAGAGAGGAGGGGGCCCCGTGCCGCGTGCTTTATGTAAACGAACCAAAACGCCTCCGAAACTCACAGTCCCACCGAAGATATTTTTCTCGTTCCCATAACAGCGATACTCAAATCTTCCTCTGACAAATATTCGCATGCAAATGTTTGGAAACTTTTGAAGATTTTTTTTTATTTTTCTTAATATGACACAACGAGTCCATCTCTATCATAGAAAAGTCAGAGACAGATTAACAATGGAATCATATTTTTTTCAAAGATTTGGTGACCATAGACTAAACATGGGCCTTTTGTTGTTGTTGTCTTCACATTATAAACCATCCCGGTCTCTCTATCCAGTACCTCCTTCTGTCTCAATCTCTCCGTACTAATCCAGCACTTNACCGTATGCCAGTTGCTAAATGCCAAAATCTAGCAAAGACTCTCGGCCCGTGGTCACGAAAGTGCTGGAGCCATCTGAGGATCTAAAGAACACGCACACGTAGCAAGAAAAAGGTGTACAAGAGCCCGAAGAGGTACTACTACACCTATATATAATCCCTGCAGCACCGTACGCGTGCCCAAAACTGAACTACACGTCCGTCTCACCGTTCGACTACAGCAACAAACAGTACGTGCCAGTAAAAACCAAAACAAAAACGAAATAAACCAAAGACAGACGAGGACATAAACAAACTCGCACAGAGACAGGGATATCCGTAGAGACAGTCTGAACGCGACAGCAAACGGGGGAGAGGGCAACAGAAAAATTAGTCGCTGAAATTCAACCGCAACATGTCACGTCACGCGGTCGGTCTCTTCTCGCTTGCTTTCTTCCCGCCGCGCCGTTTCCTTCCGCCCCCCTACCGCCCCGTTGATTGGTGCCGTATCTAGACTATTTTTGGGCCCGCTGTCTC